AATTTGCTCACATGCAGATGAAGAATTAGTCTACGCATTAAGCTACAATTCCAGAAATTAGCATGTAAATTGTTTATCTGTAAATGGTAAATAAAAAATCCCCTCAATAATCATATTTATTGAACACATTGTTTACAGATTAATTCAAATACAACGGGAAAAAAATCTTCGTTTCCAGAGAACAAAGATTTTTTTTTTTGGTACAGACAAAGATTCGGAAAATGGCTCATAAATCAATTTTATTACTGTAGTGGAATCCTTGTCATTTTGTACTGTGGTGGACGCAAGTACTTACGGACAACGAAACACTGGTAATCGTCTTGTATCTACTTCATACTGTAATCCACCACAAAAGACCACAGTAATAAAATTCATTTACTTAACCTTCAGAATACAGAATACGGTGATGTCTTAGCTTTGTCTTTTTAAGCCGCGTTGCCCTCCAGCGTCTGTTTAACATACTAGTTTAACTTTAGAATGTTGTTTAGATAGGTCATCTGTTGTTCAGGTAAGGTCATCTGTGCTTTTAAGGCAGTGGTCGTGCTGGAATGGTACAGCGATTAGGTTAGAAGAGCAGTAGACTTTTGGCGAGATAGAAAAAGATAATTTGTTATTATTACGGGACTGTAGACGGGAGTTTCTTTGTAAGGGCTCTATAACATTCGTCTTTCGAAGGATAACTTTGAATGTGGCGTGGTCTTATTGACACCGTGATCTATATATCGATTTAAATCGAAAGTACTGCCAATTTTTTAATCCGTGATCACAGGTATAACAGCGAATATGTTATCTATGCTAATATGTGATAACAGAGTACAATCTATTTCCGTCGCAGAGGGAAATATATCTGAGATTAATATTACTTGTAGTAATTAATTAACTTCTCGTGGGCTGGAGTGTTTACAACGTACATAATGTAAAGGTAAGATTAACTATTCTTTAACTATGACAATTAATTTTAAAAGAAACTTTTAATTTTCTAGTTACTCTTCTCATATAATGACTAAAACCATGCTGGTCTTTAAACATTTTAATGTAACAATATCACGAGTTACAACAATTAAAAATCTTACGACTTATATCATTTGTTTTGAAATTAAAAATCTTACGACTTATAACATTTGTTTTGAAATAAAAATTTAAAGGAAAGTGTTGTACAGAAACTCATTATTTTCTTAAATTAAATTTAAACAAGAAAGTTTCCCTCTGACAGTCTCTATACACTTATTGTTATCATTTTAAAAATAATGTATGTTTTATTACTGTCTTTTCCATTGAAATGATCAACGTGGCTTTCTCAAACAGTACTGAAAATCATTTAACAGAAGGCACTGGTCGATTGGGTGTTGGTTTTAGAACAGTCCCCCAAAACAAAACACTGCCTGTTTCTTCATGACGAATAAAAAACAAAAATGGCCTATCAAATTTAACAACTTTGTGCGTTCCATCCCTAGTTAATGACACAACGGTGGCGGCCGCAGCTTCTGTACCAAGTTCTGTTATATCAATTGTAACTTTATGGATGACGTTATCAGCATAAAGGCCAGGATTTGTACTTTGATTAGAAAAACGTGATTCAGCGTGGTTAGTCGACGTCTGTTTCACCAAATCTGTTTCGTTTTCTGATTTTTTGAGAATTTCATCAGCGCTTGTATTCGTATTTACAGTCGTGTGTTCTGGGTATTGATGCGTTGTTGATATAATATCTTCAGCATTTGTACTCTGTTCTTCAGAAATATTTTTGTTTTCAAAATGGTCATTGATCATAAAAGAATCAACATTTCTGTTATCTGATATTTGACTCAGATCAGCTTGGAATGGATCAAATAATGTATGAACACCAAGTAATTCTAATGCATCCTTAAGATAGATTGTTGATTCAAGTTGCATTCGTGGTACAGTGAAGATTACAGTTCTTTCTACCGTACAATCTGCAAGTCCTTGTAAGTGATTCACCGTCAGTTTGTATCGTAAACGCTTGAGAGCTGGATATCCAGGTTCATTAGGCAATAAAAGGTACATCGTTACATTATGATCTTTATATGGAAGTCCGACAACCTGACAACCAAGTATTGGATCAAAATAATACGGGAACTCTCCACCATTTGCCATTGTGGGGACTTGTAGGATTTCATTGGTACCATTTTCTTGACTGTCTATGGCATGAAATGGCCGCCTGAAAAATTACGACACAACTTTAAAATAAGTACGAATTTTTGTAACGACATGAATCTTCAAATATCAAATATCAAAATCTCATTCACCTTCAGTACTAGTAATTTTTGTGTATTTAATAAATTTAATATCAAATATTGAAGGAGATAGAGGCAGTCATTTATAAGATAATTAAGAAAAGACAACACCTCGCCCAAAATTGAAAAACAAATGGCATGAAACATCACCAAATGGAATCATATTTGAGTTTTAAGTTCGTAAATATTTTACACCTGATGATGGTTTTATAAAAACTGAAATATGTTGTGTAAAAGATGTTCCAAAATGTAAATCGATCAATCGATATGGAACATCAATGATATTTTATTATCTTAATTATAAGAAATTTTAAATATTGTGATAAGACGGATTAAAATAAATAATTGTTAGAGATAGAGGCATAGAAATCCATATCTTCATCCCCAAATTAGTCTACGTCATTTTGTTTTGGAATTAAATTTAAATATTTGTCCCCTTGAAATGCTGTGTGTAGCAAAAACTTCCTTACCAATTCGTCTCTGTTGGAGAAAAAGGATTTTTCCATGCGCCATTGAAGTAGAGAGCACTTGCAATTATGATCCTGGTACTTGGGGGTGGTGCATACTCCAAAATGTTAGGGATGTGTCCATAAGTTTTATTTTCTACCCATCTGAAATTAAAATAAACACAAATTTATCTCAAATACAGTGCACGCATCTCATTGTCATACGAAGCAGTCTTTATTTTAGAATTTAGTGTAGTTTTTTGACGTCTCAAAATTTATTTTATAAGGGAATTAAGAGCTAATGTATTTGACAGTAATCTAAATGTATTTATTTATTAAAATATATTCACAACAGAAAAGAAAAACATTATTGGTATCAGAGAACACAGCGATTTTGAAGATGAATAATTTCTGGGATGTTGTGGAAGATGGTTTTTGCATACACCTCTGAAAAATAACTTCTACCAGACAACCCAGAAGACAGACATCTTCATACTCAGTGCCACGAGAAAATCTTAAATTTCTCTTACGTACAGTGATTATTCCTATACATAAAATACTTGAGGGTTACAAAAACTGTCAGATGAAAAGTTTATAATGGATGTTAAGAGAGAATAGTATAGTTGCGTCATATTGTGATATTAATTAAAATAATTATTATATTTGTTTACCGTCAAATCACAATAAAATAGTAAGATAAGATAATTGAAATTTAAATTCATTTTAATTATCTTATCTTACTATTTTATTGTGATTTAACGGTAAACAAATATAATAATTATTTTAGTTAAGAGAGAACTTGGTCTGAGACAGTTTTATCTATTTTTCAAGGTCAAATCTCGCGATACGTCGGAGATACCGAGATAAAATCTCATCTACGATAATCTACTTGAGATTCAACGCTATTATAGATAATTACAGATACAGCAGCCTGACTGATACTTACTTGTTTATGACATCTCTCGCCTCGCTGCTATGTCCAATAAAATCGAGATTCAGAACTTCACTCCCATAAATATTTTTGCTCACGTTTGCAAACCTCTCTTTAATCTGGACGCCATCTTGAACAAAAATTGCCCCGGCCATTGCAGAGTATGTTGATGTTCCAGCGTCAGTGTAGTCTTCGATCTTTTTTAAAAATCTTCCAAAATGGTAATGTAATTCGTCGCCACTCGCACTTAAGTCGACCCCAGCAGCCAAACCTAACACAGTCTCAATCTCTTTATAAGTTCTTCCTGCTGCTCCGAGCATCACCAATGACAAAGCTGAGGCAATACTAAGAGGCGAAAAAATGATATTGTTCTTATCATCAATATTTGTGTAGTCCTCTGAAGATAATGCAAAATCCATTTGTAAAGCAAATCGTAGGACCCCTCGAGATATCATCTTGTCTATTAGGTTCTCGCGCATTACATTTGAAATTTCTTTGCTGTCATCATTTTGAAATCTTATACCGGTGAAATTTGGAGGTGATTGAGGATGTCTCTTCCAGTTTCCATACGCGGTTGCATTCAGTGAATTTAATGTCTGAGGAATTTGCTGTGACGCTGAGACATTTTCAGATGTTGAGTTTGGGAAGTGGATCATTGTAGAAGATACACTCATCTTGATTAACGTAGATATGCACAGAAGAAATGTGTAGCAGATCATATTTCTGGAAATAAATCGAAATCTTTAATTAACTTGTGTTTCACGTTCAGTAATTATAATTTTCTGAGTATTTATTTAGGCGTTCAAATACCTCAATCTTATACAGAACAAATAACAAAATATTCTGCGTGATTTTATGATATTATTAAATGTAAATTTTGAACTTATCCACTTCTTTAATTTGGTGTCCAGGTTCAAACTAAAATGCTCTTGTATTTATATTGTGTGAGGGACTAGCTCAGTAAGGAGGTCCAACAGATGGGGTTTTCTGCCCTCATTTTACCTGATGAAGGGGGTCCAACAGATGGAGCTTTCTGCCCTCATTTTACCTGATGAAGGGAGCAGAATCATTTTCGAGGTATTTACGAGAATACCAGGAATAAAAATTAAATATAAAATAAAATACTTGTCTTGTTAAAGTTGATTAGTAACATTTTTTATAAACTGTCACAAAATTTCAATAGATTTTTCCCATTTATATAATCTATATATCAGTAAATTGACAGGATGAATGTGGCCACAGGTCTTAAGACTTTATTGGGAGGGTTCCTTGGTCTGGGAGTAGGACCTTTTACACGATAAAATTACACAAAACTTATATTTTGTGACTCGAAGGTAATTCGAAAACGCGATCCCAGTGTTGGACAGTACGCAATTCGACCTTCAGCTTACCTCCTAAACGTGGCAACCACCTAAAATGATACGCGGCCTAACTAAAAAAACATTTTACCAGTTACATTTTTAATAGTTCCTCTCAGATACGGAACATGAACGTAAAGTTATCTACAGTAACGTTTAAGTTTCACTTGGCTCCGGTCTTTAGACTAGGAAAGTTAAGCTGAAAGCAGCTTTGGACATATTTGTGGAACGCCTCTCAGAATAAATTATTCAGTTCATGAAACAACCTTGTCCAGTTATTCTCAACCCGGAGCCCTCAGACGCAGTTGTTCCGGCAGGTATAAATTTGTCGCAAAAACTGTATCATTCTGTGTGACGGAAAATAATTACATGTTTTCAGAAAACTCGTTTTGTTATGTCGGCAGTATTTGGAAGTAACTACCGATGTGAGCTAAAGAGAGATGTCTTAGTTATGAATTCTTGGAAGTATTAATGCGAATTTCAATATAAAAAAGTGGAAATTAAGTCCGATATAAAACAGTGATAAATGTCTAACCATTGACTGATTTTTTTTAATAATAGATAAATATGTGGACCTGTTCGTATTAGTAAGTTAGTAAAATTTTTAATAAATTGTCATGAAATTTAAATAAATTTGTCTTGTGTGTAATTATTGCTGCCTGCGAATCGATAAGGTCTGGAAAAGTTTGAGAACCCCTGACATCTTCGATCGTTCGTGTTCAGTAGAAATATTAAATTAAATTAAATTCAATACAATTTAAGTGCTTGACAACAGCCAAGCACTAAACCAGAGTACAGGATAAAATATAATAAATAATTAAATTAATTTCAATAATAATAAAAGTAAAACAAACAAACAAATGAAATAATATATAAATGTACCATATTAATATTAATAATAATTCGATTCATTTATTGAATAATATTTTACAAGTAAATGGGCTAAATACGATACCTAATTAATATAATTCAATTTAATAATTCTAAATAAAATAAATAATACTAAATAATAATAATAATAATAAT